AAAACAGAAATGAAAGGGGCTACTGGGAGGGCTGATCCTGAAGGGATCTAAACTGCAGGTTACTGCTGGGTTGTTCTCAAATAACATCAGTTCTCCAAGGCAACAGTGTTTCAATTAACGTTCTAATATTTTCATGTTTCAATTATGTCAGAACCTGTTATGAACTTCCCAGAAAACTTTTGTTGATTAGGTAATCAATAAACTTTATAAATAAACAAGCTCATCCACTGCCCTGGGAGAACTGAGAGCACATCTTCAACTACGCCACAGAACACTCTGCAACAGGGGTCTTCCACAACAAAGAAGTTAACACAGAAAAGTGTTCCCCTTCAGGTAGGAAGTTTGAAAATCCCTGATTTGCAATCTCTTGATATAAAATTCAGATTACAAAACTATGAGATAACAGCAAAAAAAAATTAAGTAGCTGAACAATGCACTTCTAGTGACACCTAGTGATCTTACAGTTGTAAAGCATACACATTATAAATATACCCCAAACATCTGGTATATTTTACTGATGAAGTTGAAAATATATATAGTCATGAAAACATTTGACAGATTGCATTGGTGTGCCACAAAATTAAATTTTAATACTCAGCTGATCTAAGCAAATACTACAGACAGCTAATTTTGACATTCCATGTTTTTTCTTGTTCTTTTCCGAAAACTCAATACACCTGAAGCATTAATGAAGAATTCTTCATTAATGTCACAGCCAACAAAGCTTTGGCTATCACACACAAATTTTGAAACATAAAAATAATTAAAGCAAGATCAGCTATCAAAGCCAACAGCCTGCACAGATAAAGAGCAAGATAACCCACTTAAGAATAGGGTAAATTGAATACACTTGTTTCTAAAACACCAAATAAGAAATCATTATACTTTTCTTTTTTTCCCTCATCCTTTTGACATATCCTGTGCCCATGTCAGGCTTATGTCTCTAAAGATTACAAAAATGAAATCCTTATTTTATGCGCACGCGCACGCGCACGCGCACACACAGACACACACACTTGTAGTTTACATTGAATTTCACTGTACCATTTATCTTCTTCTTAAACATTTTGTTTAAGAAAAAATACTTGATACCTACATATATACTTCTGTCATGGGACGATTCGGCCATCTAGCCCAGTATTGTCTACTACTCTGATTGGTAGTAGCTCTCCAAGGTCTTCCCTAGCTGTGGTATCCAAGATGCTGTTAACTGGCAATGCTAAGGATTGAACTTGGGACCTTCTGCAAGCGACACACATGTACTACTTCTGAGCTATGAGTTCTCCCCAATGTGTGCCTCCTTTGAGAGGCTCAGCCTTGGATCTTGCATAATTGTCGCCAGCAGTTGTTGCTTGCCACCATTTTATTCAAATATGCAACTACATACTGCATTTTTTGACACCCACACTGATGCTACTAGCATTCTGCTTTCAGTATTTCCCCCTTCATACCCTGGAGATTGGCCAGTTGCCTCTGAAACAAAAGGTTCATTGTTTGGAGGTGTTCCTGTGCCCGTCTCTGTTACTTGTGCTACAGCAGTCTCAATGGGTAGGGCTGCCTTTTTTCAGCTATAGCTGATATGCCAACTTTGGCTTTTCTAGGACAGGGATTGCCAGGCCATGGTGATTCATGCATTGGTAACCTCAAGACTTGGTTGTATTCAACTAATTTTTACTCAAGGTAGACTGTTGGTGGGCACAAACTACCAACAGCCCATAACTCCCTTCCTTAAAAGCTCGCACTGGCTGCCAATATATTACTGGGCTAAGTTCAAGGTTAACTGTATTAATTTACAAGGCCATTAACAACTCGGGTCCAGGATACCTTAAAAACCACCTGATTTCTTATATCCCTGCCAGATCACTGAGGTCTTCAAGGGAGTCACTGTTTGTGGTCATCCATGTCTCCAACATATTCCTTGCAGCCACTAGGAGTCACAGCAGTGCGGGCACAACTCTGAGAAACTCCCTCTCAGCTGAGATCAGGTATACCTTGCAGCCTGCTGAACTTCAGGCACTTGAAGACCTTTCTATTCTGTTGACATTTTAAGTATGTTGTATTATACTTAACTAGGAAATTTATGGTTTTTTTAACCCATGTTTTTTTGTTTGCTTTAAATGCCACATTATATGGCTGAATAACTGTTTTACTGATTGTTCTTCAAATTGCTTTCATCTATGGTGAAAAGCAGTCTACAGATACTGGCAGTACTTACTTTTCAACCCAAAGCACTGATACTAGTTTTATCCCAGCCTTCTGAGCTCTATTCCATGTGGAGGAGAGTCCTTCTTTAAAGATTACGTGAGTCACTTGCTTGTTCAAAGTCTTAGAAACCTATAGAACATAAGAACATAAAGTATCTCCCTGTAAGTTGTACTGAAAAGCAATACATTATGACACACCACTTTACTAGGTAAGCAAATAATGTGCAGCTTTTAAAAATGTGTCAATTATTAACATATTTGATTTAGGCAGAAAAACAAGCTGATTAATTCTAAAGCACTTTGCTATACACCTTGGCCACAGTCCAACACACAGGGGAGTGTGGTTAAATTCATTGATATTCTTAGGTAGCAACAATTGTTACAATGTGTAACCAATTCTGCTTTCTTCAAAAAAGAATAACTTACTTTTGCTCCCATATCAATGAGTTGTTGAGTAAAACTTTTAGAGTAGTTTTCTGTTCTGCTGGATGACCATACTTCAACATAGGCTACAACACCTATAAAGGAATAAAAAAAGAGAAAGATCTAAATAGTTGTTGTTGTTTAGTCGTGTCCGACTCTTCGTGACCCCATGGACCAAAGCACGCCAGGCACTCCTGTCTAAATAGTACGAAATGTTGAATAATCTTTGGATTGCCACTTTTAGGGTGCAGTGTCTCAATTATTTCCATAGAATTACATCAGTTAATTCCTGCTTTACATCATATGCATATAGTTGTTCTTACTCGCTGCCTTGTGGGACATCCTTGAGAGAAGAAAAGACTAAGGAGTAAACCCAACGCAAATCCAGAGGAGTGCCTAAGACGGTTGCATGGCATCTTGTATGCCTCCTTCTGGCAACTCCTACAGCCAAGCTGCCGCCAAATGCATTGCTCTTTCCTTTTAACCACATCAGTGAGGCCAATGGGGGGCCTTGTCATCTGGGCAGCCCAGGACACTGCAATTAGGCCTTTGACTGGTTATATAAGTGCCTTTTAAACTGGGGTGTGTGTGTGTGTGTGCATAGTTTGTTACTATGCATTTTTTTGGGGGGGGGGTTAGCTTGTTGTTCCGATACTGGGCTGTATAGAAATTTAATAAATCACCACCACCACCATTAAGGAAGTATCAACATTGTACAAAAAGGAAGGTATACAGTGGATGCTCGGGTTGCGAACGTGATCCGTGTGGAAGGCACATCCACAACCCGCAGCGCTGTGTCTGCGCACATGCGGGTTGCGATTCGGCGCTTCTGCACATGCACAAAACGCGATTTAACACTTGTGTGAATGCGTGAATGCTGAAACCCGGAAGTAACCCGTTCCGGTACTTCCGGGTTTCTCAGTGTCCGTAACCTGAAAATGCACAACCTGAAGCGTCTGTAACGCGAGGTATGACTGTATTCAGTACTGTTTAAAATGGGAATTTATTATTTTTAAGCCCTTAAGAAACTGGGTAGGGACGCGGGTGGCGCTGTGGGTTAAACCACAGAGCCTAGGACTTGCCGATCAGAAGGTCGGTGGTTCGAATCCCCATGACGGGGTGAGCTCCCGTTGCTCGGTCCCTGCTCCTGCCAACCTAGCAGTTTGAAAGCACCTCAAAGTGCAAGTAGATAAATAGGTACCGCTCCGGCGGGAAGGTAAACGGTGTTTCCGTGCGCTGCTCTAGTTCACCAGAAGCGGCTTAGTCATGCTGGCCCCATGACCCGGAAGCTGTACGCTGGCTCCCTCGGCCAATAAAGTGAGATGAGCGCGGCAACCCCAGAGTCGGTCACAACTGGACCTAATGGTTAGGGGTCCCTTTACCCTTTAAGAAACTGGGTACACAGCATGCGGTCTGTTACATTATACAGTCAGCCATGGAAAACGAGCGGGGGGGGGGGCTGAGCGGAGAGGGGCTCCTGACCTTGATCTGGAGGCTCCCGCCCCCCAAACATTTCTAGTGAGCCCCCAAGGGTTAACTTCACGCACATGCCTTAGGAAGAAGCGGGTGGGCGACCGCGAGGGGGAGAGAAAAGGCTGCAACCCCCGCGCGTCTGCCTCCTTCGTAGGCCCAGCTTTCGCCCCAAGCTGGAAAAAGTATTCTGCCTGAGGGCGCCCCCCACCTCCCCGTCGCCAGTCCAAGCCGACAAAAAGCCCCGCACAGGTGGGGAAAGCGCTCCAGAGGCTCCCCCATCCCCACTGGGAGGCCTGACAAGAGGCCGCCTCTCCGCTGGGCCGCTACCTGTCAAGACAGGCCGGGCACAACGCGGCGGGACGTCGGTGAGCTCCATGAGGAAGGGAGCAACGGTGCCGTTCAAAAGAAACCGCCGTCGGCTGAAGGGGCATGCGCACTGGGCATGCCTTTCTCTCGTCCCTCTTTTCCGGTTCCCTCCCTCCCACTCTCTCTTCCGGTCCCGCTCTTGCTTCACGAAAACCATAGAGAAAAGTGGGCGTGGGGTTTCCCTCGATGAGCGTCATAAAGTACGGGGAAAGTTCTAAAGCGGGGTATCGTCCCCTCCCCTGCCCCGCTCCCCGCCTTCTTCCTGCTACTATCGTTCAGGGAGCTGAAAAGCAATAGAAGTCAGGGAGCTCTTACAAAAGCTTAGGTCACGTTTTGGAGACGTTCCCACCATGGGTGGTGTATTGCGTTTGTTTTGGGGGTTGCTTTTGCTTTCTTTTCTCCCCGGTTTTGAGCTGCAGGAAAAGCCAGACGTTTGACTGCGGTCAATGATGTGTGTGTGTCTGTTCGTTTGTTTTAATAGGCAGCGCCGGATTTACGTATAAGCTAAACAAGCTACAGTAATAGCTTAGGGCACCACTCTCTTGGGCAAACGCCAGCTCCCTCGTCCTGAAAGCGAGATGAGCACCACAACCCCAGAGTTGCCTTCGACTGGACTTAACTGTCCAGGGGTCCTTTACCTTTAGTGAGCTAGAAGCAGGTGGCAGGTGGAAGTCTGTGCTGGAATCCAAGGCTATGGTTGTCAGACCTTGTGGTGTTGACTCTGAGCCCCTCCATCGTAGGCTCAGATTGTGTGTGTGTGTGTGTGTGTGTGTGTGTGTGTGAATAAGCCATATATCCTACAGACACAGCAGTCTCCACTGTCCCTCATTCTGAGGAAAACAAACCCTGGGTTAAGTGCCTGGAATCCCCGGAGCTCTCAAACCTGGGAGTGATGCTGAGAACCAGTATAGAACTACATGGGCTAATGATTCAACTTGATATAAGGCAGTGCCCTATGTTCTTACAGATAAGATGGTGTTGGAAATACCAATGCTATTTTGTTCAAATGAGCTTAAGAAACGATCATACTGAGTCATCGGCCCACCTAGTTCGGTGTTGTATATTTTAAAATTAGCTGGCAACAGCTCTTCCAAGGTCTTATGTCAGGTGCCTTTCCTTCCTTTGCTTCTTAAAATGTGATGCGGGTGCCTTGGTGTCAAGACACACTGCCATATTATAAGGTTAACAAACGTCCCTGTTTCCAGGGGAAAGTCCCCAGATTTACAAATCAGTCCCCTGACAAAATCCGTCTCCATCAGCCAAAGTTGAAAAGTGTTCCCGGATTCATTGAAAAGAATCCGGTAACCTTACCATATTAGGCAAATTATAAACCTAGCAGGTCCCAAGGGAGCTTTCATAACCATAGCTGTCAACTTACAGATTTGAAAATAAGAGACCAGCAGCCTCGAAAATAAGGGATCAGCAGCCAAAATATGGGATTTCCTCCCCCCTCCCCGCCATGTGCCCACGCTCCAGAGAGACCTTTTCCCCGGCAAGGGTGAATGGGCCGTTGATGACATATCCATCCGATTCCGAGCACAGGTATGTTCAACTTCTGAGCCCCTCCAAGCCAAAGGCAGAAAGCCCAGCCAGCAGCCAAACGAAGCCTCAAGCGGTGGTTCCCACAGTGCAGCAACCCGGCAAAGGGGATGCAGCAAGGAAAACCACCGTCACCTCTCCGCTGGGAAGCGCTGAGCAAAGGCGAGTCTCCAGGCAACGCGGCCGATTTGATCGGCACAAGGCATGCAAGCTCCACCCCCCATTCGTTCTTAGACTCCTTATTGGGTGAGCAATGCAGCCAAGCAACACAGTTGGAGCCTCCCTCCTCCCTGGCCGGCAGGGAGGGAGGAAGAGGAGCTGATTCCTTTGAAACCTGGGAAATTTACAGGATATCATCAATCCAGGACAGCAGTGGGACACGGTGCTGGGATAAGAGAGTTTCCCACCAAATAAGGGACGGTTGACAGCTATGTTCATAACATCTAACAACACTGGCACAACATCATGTTAGCCCAGTATATCTGTTAATATCCTATTCTAAGCTCTCGGAATAAGTGATAGAATCACACATTGGAGTATTAGACAATGCTGGAAACTCTGAAAATGCACAGTTCAGCAGATTAACATTTGGTTTAGGCAAAGTGAAAGAAATGGCAGATACAAGAGGCATATTTATGCAAGCTGAGTACCATGTTGCGGCAAGAGTAATTTCTAGCCATTTTAAAACAAGGTTTGGCACAGTAGATGGCACTATAGTGCAAGAATTGCAAGTACTTTTTAAAATTCTGCAAAAGCATCTAGCATCCATTCCTGAAGGTATTTTATTTATCCATCTAATTTTAATGCAAGTATGTACCGTAATGCTCATATGGGGACTGCCAATAATGTAGTATCCCAACTGTTGCTTTATAGTTCCTCTTGAGGATATTATCTATAAATGGGATAGTGTAAAGTCACTTACAAAATACAAAAATCAAGTGGGAAATGGGCATTTGTCTCTTCCATCTTGTAGGATCGAGAAGGTTTTCTTCCGAAAGAATATAATTTCTGCCTACAACGAGTGGTCAAAAAGATGTTGCATAAACCTGTCAGGTGCGTGTGTACCTATAATGATCCCAAGTGTTGACTGGCAACACAGCTTATGAATTGTGTGGCTCACCCTAAAGAGTTCATAAATAGCTTAGTTCTCAGGCAGTCTCCAGGGCTGGGTACCCTTGCATCAACCGTACCAATTGCAACATTTGACCCCAGCTCTAAATGGCAATGAATAAGTATCATCAATATTTTAAATAAGCACATGGCAATCTTTTTAAAATGTAAAGGACCATACTTGTGCTATGAGACTTTTTATGGCAATGGTTCCAGAAAAAAACAGGACACACGGTATTTATGCCTCTTCTGATTCAGTGCCTTCAATTTTATTCATTCTTGGTGTCCTGTAATTTAACAAATCGCCCCTTGTGGATTTGACTCAGCAGCGGGTTTATTTTCGAGTACTTGGGGATGTTGATAATAAGATAATGTCATCGCCACACCACCACTAGGTCACACTGTAAAAATACACCTCTTTGGCATAGCATTTCCCTAAGAGTCAAAATGACAGGGGAGAGAATGACAGGGGAGAGATACCATTTTGAAGGGAAGAACTCTAATGCTAACCTCCCAGAAATGAATCCCATAATAAGAGTGAGAGCAGGGCTAAATTCCATACAAAGTATGAGTCATCCTTGCTTGTAGCTGGACTGGAAATTTATCTAAATTGCTTCCCATACTGATCTTGATAGTCTGTGTTCTGGCCTCTGGTAAAAGTGTTCCACTGTGAAATAACTGCAATGTACTTGGTGCAATAGAAATGGGTTATATGACAGTCAAGTGCTGAGCTACTTTCCTTTAAGTCAGTAATAGATATTTTGGGCAATAGAATTTTGCATGGGAAATAGTAATTCCTTTCTTATTAAGGAATGAATTTATTGCATTTATATCTCATCGGTTGCCCCACAAGAAGCCGTAGAAATAACGTTTTCCAAAAATAATTCTGGTGGGTATGTGTTATCCTGCACTTTGATCAAACACTGGTGGAATCTACACACATATTTTTTTAAAAAAACATTGCGAAAATGCTTTTTTTAAAAAAATGTTTTGAAAACTATTGAATTTGCCATAGCTCACCATAGCCATCTAGTGTCAGATTTGTAGAATGCACTTTACAATACACATAACATTTTATTTGCAGCTGTATAACTGTGTCCCCAGTCTTGAAATTATCAATCATTGGCTGTCTTATTTTCTAAAGAATACCCAGGAAGGGGTGGTGGGGTAACAACATCGTACTGTAGCATAGAACAATGAGCATAATTGGATGTGTTAGAATCCCACATACTTTGAGTGAGTTAAATATAAGAGTGGTATTATAATAAAAAGAGTTTTAAAATATTCACTGCTTTTTTGAAACATACACACAAAACCTGCCATAGAATTCATTAAGGGGATATGTGTGTGTGTGTGTTTTCATATCATGACTGTTTAGCCATGGACCAAATACCCTCTGGGTGGAAAATGAGTATCATATTCCTGATTTATAAGAAAGGGGATAAGAATGCTCTACAAAACCATAGGCCAATTAGCTTGTTAGACATCTCAAAGCTATACACATGGTATCCCTTTCAAAAATTATCAGACTGGTTGCGAAGTACAGTGGTACCTCGGGTTACATATGCTTCAGGTTACATACACTTCAGGTTACAGACTCTGCTAACCCAGAAATAGTGCTTCAGGTTAAGAACTTTGCTTCAGGGTGAGAACAGAAATTGTGCTCCAGCGGCGCGGCACCAGCAGGAGGCCCCATTAGCTAAAGTGGTGCTTCAGGTTAAGAACAGTTTCAGGTTAAGAACGGACCTCTGGAACGAATTAAGTACTTAACCCGAGGTACCACTGTAACAACAAGTGGGGTTCAGAGGATGACACAGTACCATTGATCAGTGTTTTGCTCTGAACCATAGTATAAGAAAATATACTAAGAACATTCAGAACAATCTTTATGCTGCGTTAAAATATAGACCGTGGGGGGAAATTCAAATTGCCAACATCAACTGCAGACTTATGAGGGTCAGAGTAGGTTTAAATGGTGGTATGACTGACACTTTTAAAATGTTGCTAGGAGTAAAGCAAGTTTGCATTCCGGCTCCCACTCTTTTTAACCTTTCTATTAATGACTTGGTGCCATATTTAGCCAACACAAGCTCCTCCACTCCAGTAATAAGGAACAGGAAAATCTAAGTCTTGATGGATGCAGATGATTTAGTGCTCCTCTCTCTTTCCCAATTGGGCCTCAAAAACCTCTTGGAGGTTTTCAGCACATACTGTAAACAGGAAAGCCTATCTATAAATTACTCTAAAATGAAGATTGTAATTTGTGGCAGACACAGTCCTAGGTATAAATGGTGCTTGGATCAGCAGGCTATTAAACAAATTTGCTTATTTAGATACCTGGGTATCCTCTTTCATGAAGCCATCTTTTGGAAGTATCATAGAATCATAGCCTCATAGAATTGAAGATATGGAGACAGTGGAAGTCAAAGCACAGAAAACCAAGGGGACATTGATGAAGTTCTATGACAATAAGAAAGGGAAGTTGATTGAACCTGCCCCAAATATATTTGGTAGCAAAGTGCTTACTAAAATGCTCTATATGGTGTTGAAATCTGAGGCTTTGATTCGAACTTCATTCAAGTTTTGGAAACTGCAGAATATTTTGTTTCAGAAGCTGTACTCTCTACAATCAGGAATATCAGCAGCTGTTCTTTGTACTGAATCCAGGTGGCTGACAATTAAGACAAGAGCAGACTGCGTGATTCAAATGGATATGACCCTCTTGCACAACAAATTCAACGTCCTCCCCACCCCCACCAAGAAAAAGAAATTGATTTCCCCCCAGAAAGGAAAGTAATGAGTTAACAATTCCTTTCATGATGTTGTAATAACCTCTCTGCAAAAAATAAAAATAAAAATCAGAATGAATGTCCCATAATAACTTATAACCTTCCTGCTGTTTGTGACATTAAATCAAGACGAATGCTCAATGAACAGTTTGTCTGGAAGTAACCCAGGTCTTAATTTGATGAAGTTGTGGATGCAAAGGAGTTTGAGCTGAGCTCCGTCTACAACAGGGTTTTCCAGCTTTCTCCTTTCTTCCGTGGCACTGTAATTCTGCTGAGGTCTGGGGAACCTTCTAGGATAGAGTGTGATGTGATAATACTAGGAAGTATAGCTGGAGAGGGGCATTGGTGGAAGTTAGGGTCATATTTACATGCCTAGAAGCATCTTCTGATCGTGCAAGATGTTAACGGTACCCCATTCTGTTAAATTATTATTTGCTGATGTTTAATTTTACTGTTTACTATTCTAATGGATGATTGAATCTTGATATAAGTTGTTTATTTTAAAGTTATTGTGACTTTTTATACAGGATCTGATTGTTACTATTAATATTTTACTATTATTTTTATGTGTGTTGGGAGCCACTCAGAGTGGCTGGGGCAACCCAGCCAGATGGGTGCGGTATAAAATAATAATAATAATAATAATAATAATAAAAATGGGGTTTATCAGTTTTCAGTACCAGGACATGCAGGTTCATATTATAGTGGTTTTTTCTCCAGTCACATCAACTTCTAAACATCTGACATTATGAAAAAGGGCCTCTGAATCATAAGGATTAACTAGTAGATGGGCTGCACTGTGAAAAGGACTTAACCCACCCCTTCTGTTTCCAAATTCAAAGCAATACATATAAGAAAAGCAAATCAATATTTTTAGTTACTGAAAGAAAGAAAAAGGGACTGTCATGTGTTGCAAAGACAAATTCTCCAGAGGATGTTGCTGGGAAAGCAAATACTCCTTCCACTCCTTTTGCTCAATCCAACCTTTCTTACATAACCTTCTGATCTAGACCAAGTTTAGAAAGTCACCTAGAAACTTAAAAGGAAACACAGCTAGCAATTTTTCCCAATCATTTTCTATAGACGCGTTGCTTTTGCCCTTTCCTCCCCAGGAAGTAGGTTATCTGGCCAACAGAGATAAATACCTTATTTAGTAAATTCAGGGGTAACCAAAATGAGTCATACATAAAGACTGATGGTTTTTATTTCTGAATATAAAGAGGAATAACAAATGGGCAAAGATATAAACTTCACATGAAGATATAAACTAATGTCTTCATGTAAACAAGAGTTATGCTGGGATGAAAATCTGAAGATTTTAAGCCTGCTTTCTCAGACCTTATATTTCCCCCCTTTTAGTATGTTGCGAGCTTGTTTTATTTTAGACCTTTGTTTGTTAAAGATTAGGTATCTTTTTTCTCCCAAGTCTATCTCAAGTTCACAATAAATCTGCATTTCTTAAAAAAAGAAAAACCTCCTGCACAATTTATTCTGTGACCCCAAATTTGTTCACTCAAATGTTTGTAAACTGTTCATCATTAATAAGTTCAGTAACATAATGCTATGTGTCAGTGATCTGCAGTGATGATGTAGGAAAAGAGAAATTTGCAAAACTCTTTTTTAATATTTTGAATGTATTGCAGGTCAATAAGCATGAGACCTGAAAACGCCAAATTCTATGTGACTAAGCAAGCTGTACAGTAGTCAGTGACTTAATCCAAGGCTTTGGGATGTTACTGAGCTGTAGCTCCCATCATCCCTGACCATCATGGCCAACATTTCTCCGATGAAAATTGGGACATCCTAAAGAAAAGTGGGACATTTGGGGATGCAATCAGAAACTGGGAGGGCTTCTGTAAAACCGGGACTGCCCCTGGAAAATAGGGACACTTGGAGGGTCTGGAGTTGCAGTCCAGTTTTACACAAAGCTCAGGAGTGCTAGAGACTAGGTCCTGAAGCAGCTGAGATAGATTTCTAGATGGTTTTTTTAAAAACCATGCCTAATGTGTCTTAGAGTTCTAAGTAAAGTGGTTTGGTCACCATCCTTTGTGTAAAGGCTTTTTCTTATGCCCCCACTCCTTCTACATAGTTGTGTTGTTGTCGTCGTTTAGTCGTGTCTGACTCTTCATGACCCCATGGACCAGAGCACTCCTGTCTTCCACTGCCTCCCGCAGTTTGGTCAAACTCATGCTGGTAGCTTCGAGAACACTATCCAACCATCTCATCCTCTGCCGTCTCCTTCTCTTTGTGCCCTCCATCTTTCCCAACATCAGGGTCTTTTCCAGGGAGTCTTCTCTTCTCATGAGGTGGCCAAAGTATTGGAGTCTCAGCTTCAGGATCTGTCCTTCCAGTGAGCACTCATTCTACATAGTAATCAAGGCTAACCAAGTTCTTTGTTCAGCTGAGGCAGAAAATTCCACAAATGCCTCTCCATGGGAGTAAAAATACAACTTCAAAAAATAACAAACAAATTCACGACACCCCAAATCGGGAGCCTGAGACAGCAACCCTACTGAAGTCCTTCCCCTTCCAACTAGCTAATTAAGCTAAGATATTTCCCAAGCTGCATCTGTGTTGAATTTGCTTTTAAGATGTGTTTATTTTTTTATCATGCCTTTCTTAAAAGCAGCTACTATTGTCCCAGTTCCAAAGAAAATGGCAATTACCTGCCTGAATGACTACAGACCTATTGCATTAACATCTGTAGTGATGAAATGCTTTGAAAGACTGGTCCTTCAACACCTTAGAACCTGCTTTCCAGCGAACTTTGATAATCATCAGTTTGCCTATAGAAGAAATAGGTCCACAGATGATGAATGAAAAGATAACAACAGGGCAACTGACTTTTGGGTTTGGTGGGTGTGCATCAGTAAACGAGGGGAATTAAGACTAAGAGAGCTGAGGGGGGGTGTTCGTGTAATCTCACTGTGGGGGGGTGCTCGTGTAATCTCAAGTTGCACAAGTGAAAATAAAGTATTTCAATTTCAATATTTCAATTGTTTGCCACCCCAGGGTCCTTTGGAAGGAAGGGCAGGTTATACATTTAATAATAAATACATAATAAAATAGGCTTAGAAACCTTAAAAATCACAGCTTCCAACAGGTCCCGAAATCTACGGAGAAAGAAGTCCTTCAGTGAAGAAGTCATCCCTGCTTCATAAAACCTCTGGATGCTCACCTACCCAAATAGTCCATGAATAGACACTTGAAGCAGAGAAATATCTACAAAACAGCACCTTCAGCATGATAAATATAACTGCGGATTGAATAGTTTTGTGAAAAATGGCATTGGATGCAAATGGCAGGTTCTCTTTTCATATGGGCTGCGGCCAGGTTGTGGCTTTATGTCTCCAAGGCTATTGTTGGTATGAAGAAAGCTAAGTTAATTTGTTTAGCATGGTAAATGTGCTTGAGAAAATAACCGGAATTGAGGCTTCTGTTTCGTAAGTTATATTTTCCTCATTGTGTGTGTGTGTGTGTGCGCGCGCACACACCCACCCACACACCCACACTCAGCCCTCACTGTAGGTTTCTTTCAGTGTGGGGGGCTGTTACATTTCTATTTGACATTTCGTCTTAGTTAGAGATTAGTGGTTTGGCTTTTTTTTTTGGGTGGTGAGGTAGGATGGAAAATACTTTATTTCACCTGGGTGAAAGACCCAGTTTGGCACCCCCCACGCGCATTTGCGTACACACACACACACAAGCTGGGAGCATCAATGGCGCCCCTCTAGAGGCTTCAAAAACCCATTGGGATGTCTCCCTTCTGTCTCTGAGGACACTGAAAAATAGCTTCTCAATGTAAACCACGAACTTAAGCACCTATCCAGAAAGATTAGTACTTTCTGCCATGTGTGTATGAACTTGTGTGCACGTGATCCTCTGTTCTCCTGTTCCAGCCATGCCATGCTTCTCCCCACCTGCACCCCAGTTACAAGGTTTTCCTCCCCCTCTTTCAATCTACACTCATGGATTTCAATGCTAAAAGAGTTAAGGAATGATTCTGATAACCATGTAGCCATATGACATTATTTTTTGACGTTCACAATGCATTATTATAACGTGACACCGGAGAAGGGCTGCAGAGCAACCCTCTACCAGAAACCAGGTGGAAACAAAGCTAAAAATGAAACCGAAGAGGACTTTCCAAGTCTTGACATTTTAGAATGGTATTTCTAATATCGTTCTAATAATGTTTAAAAGGTGAGTGTCGATCCAGCCCAAGTCCAGTTCAGGCTTTCTGTTTGCGCGAGAGCAGGTAGGTTGCATAGGTTTTATATGCAAGCGTGCCAACTGCCCCTCGCCCACGCCATCCCTGGCAGCCTCTGATTTGTGAAGGTTTCCTGTACAAATGAGGTTCTAAATCACACAGAGTCTCCACAGAAGAGGCTCCCTGCCTTCAGACCTTTGTCCTCCACTAGCCAGAATGTTCCATGATGGGGTGGTAGAGTGTTTAGCATGTTTCTTTCCACTCTCCCTACTTGTGTCGTTTGCATACGAGCAGAGGGCCCAAACGGGCTCAGTTGCTCAACATTCTGCCATTAAGATTACAGGGCTCCTTGGAGGGTCTCTCCCCATATTCCCCCCCCCATGCAGATATTTTGTACATGTGTCACAGAAGTACCTTGGGGTTACCCTGAGTGAAGTGATAAATATTTTGGAGACACCGTTGAGGGAATCTTTCAAGGAGTTGGAGATGGCGTTTATAAGTGGTCCATGTTTCACAAGCATATGGTAAGGTTGGTGGTACAATAGCTTTGTAAACAAACATTTTGGTTTCTCTGCGAATGTCCCAGTCCTCAAACACTGCACTTCAATTGGGAAAAAGCTGCACTCACAGAGCTCAGGCGATGCTGGATTTCGGCATTACCTTACCGGGGAGTATGCGCACTGAATTCAGTGAAACATCCTTCTGGGTGTCAGACATGCATAAGCTTGCAGGGTAAAAAGTTTGTCTGCAAACGTACTCCTCTGAAAGCCCTATTATTCCAGTCTTTACAAAGAGCATTTTATTTATGTAATACT